ATATATAAACCTCTTTATATATTAATGCATTTTTTAAATTTGCAATTAGATTTTTCTGTTAATTCAGAAAAAGATAATAGTATCTGAAATTGAATTTTATAAAGAGAATATACCCATTTAAATAGGAAACTCCTTACCCATGATTCATCCCCCTTACCCATCTTTAATCACTGAAGAAAAATTAAATTGATTTCGACATGTAGGCATTCTCCATACTACAGTAGTAAATGTTGATTGCAAAATATGAAGAGAATGCTCAATTGGTAGCAAATGTCTTCTCATAGGTAATACCATGAGGTGTTTCACGTTAAACAGTAAATTCAGAAGCATTATAATAGAAAGTGAATTTTTGGAGAAACTCGGAACCTTTGGTGGCATTTCTGAAGATTATTTCATGCATAGTGAATTCATCTCCTAGTCGTCTTCCTCCTCTTACTACTAATCTTTTCTTCTCCTCTTTATTGTGGTTCTCCTTGGTGTATCCTTTCGGACCCCATTTTGGCGTACAAGTATGTTGCAAATGCTTCTGCGTTTCAGCAACAATGAGGTGATCTAAAACAATAAGGAAAAAGTGATAATTTTTTAGAATTGCAGTAGTGATTGGCTCATATGATATGGATTCTTGAACATTTTTTTGTGCATTCTCATGCTTCAATGCATTCTCAACTGAGGACTAGCTCCTTTACTTAGCTGTATGGGAATCTCTGATTAAAACTATAAATTCTGGTACTAGTCTTTTGTTCAGTTGATACAAGTCCATTAACGTTTTCTCCAGTATCCACTGACAAAGCAATATTGTTTCCAAATTTGTAGGACTAAATTTTTTGCTTTAAAAGTAGTGTCAAAATAGTGAATAGTAAGAGTGTGAGATAATTTTTTGTTTTTGCTCCTTTATCACAACCTAAATCATAATTTCTAGATGATATTGCAATGATACCTCTCAAGAACTCGTCTTGGTGGACAATTTTCTAGGTTCAGGGTGAAAACTTGTTTTGTCAAGACCTCCCTTGAGCTGATGTTTTTCTTGTCTCAAGCTTGTTTATTATGGAGAGGTTTCATTGTAAATCCTTTTCCACATCTGTCATCGTTGAAATTTTGTTTACTTCTAAATGATGGAAGGGAAATCAAAAGAAAACGTAGCTATTTGTAGGAGAAATTTCTAATTTATATTTGCGATTGTTGAACAGTTTCATACTAGGATTTGTCCTCTGAGAATTGTTATTGTTTCCCTCATATTTTTTTTAGGATTTTACTTAGAAACAACAGAACAAATGGTTAAGATTGTTGGATCCTGACACACATTTAATATTGACCATAGTAACCACAAATTTGAAAGTGATCATAACAAGATAGTGTGCGTGCCCCTTCTCAACTTCTGTGCTGATGTTAGCATGTCAACTGTTATCAATGTATAAATGGTGCATTATGTTGTTTGCAGTGTAGGAGGGATGTAGATTTTCTCTGAACTAATATATAGTAGTAAGCTGTTACTGTAATGTACTGGCTGTTAGAAACTTGTTACAAATCATTATCAATCAAATCAAATTCATTACTAGCAACCCTTTCAAACCTTAAATGGTTACTTAGTAATGTTCCTTATAATTAGTGCATCAATATTAGCTAAGGATCTTCAAACTCTCATTTATTGTTGAGTATCAGGATGTAAAGGTGCAACTGCTATGGTTGTGTATTGATATAATTGACTCTGTGTTATAATTTTTCACATTAAGTTTTGAGACCATTTTGCATACTATTCTGACTATCTGTAAGATTGATAGTTTGCCCTGAAATACACAGCTCCAATTCTTGTGACAATAATTTCATAGTGTCAATGCAATCATTTTTAAATTTTTAGGAAAAGAGAGGAAAAATGGGCTGATACAAATGATTGAAAAGAAGTAGTTCTATGTTTTGATTTCTGTTAGAATTGAGAAATGTAATGCTTAAAACGTTTGATGCAGATTATGTAATTTCATTTCAACATCTATTTGTCCATTTAAATATAATTGAGAACTATCTTTGTATTGTTGCAAAATTCCAAGTTGGTGAGGATCTACAAACAGTTGCTCTATTATTCATTCATTTCTTTGTTTGTCTTTCCTCAACAGCACAACATAATCAGTCTGGTCGCCTTTTCACCTGGCATATATAGGATGAATTTTAACTATCGGTGTAGATAACATTTTTGTTTTTATTATAATACTGGCTCCACCACCAGGTTGTGGTTGTGCTGTGAGGAGGCATAGTTATAACCTTTCTTACTATTCATTGTTCTTTATATTTTACTCCAGTAAATTAACTTACAAAGAAATATATTAAAGGCTGGCAATAGATTATGCAGAGGATCCTGCTTAACAAAACAAGTGAAATGAATTCTGCCTGCATTTATCATTTTTAAGTTTTGCATGTAGAAGTGTGAGCGTTTTGTCAAAAAATATTTGAGATGCATTTTGAATGTTTAATTTTTTTCAAAGTGAACTGTCGATTTTGTATAGAAAAGTATTGTAACATCCTTGGTGTTGGCACAAAGATTTTGCCTTTTACTATCATTCCAATTTTGTTTTATGAGATTTTTGCTTTATTTGCACTTTCAACCATTAAATTATTAGATATAACAAGCGATATCTCATCTAAGTTTTAGATTTTAACAAACAATCAGAGGTAGTTGTACTTCTTGTAATATTATTAACGTAATGGGAGTAAACATTTTGAGGAATGAGTTGGTGTTTTAAAATAATGGTTGAATGTTAAGCAATTTTGTGCCCATAAAGTCATTTTCATAAATCAGGTAGCAAAGAAATAAATATTTTAAAATGTGTAATAGTCATGTTCAAATTTTCACATGAATTTCGTAGAAATAATCAGTTTTATTAAGATAGGAAATAGCTATTGCTTAACTAGCAACACCCTTGGGCACTGTGATATATAATTCAAATAATAATAAAAAAAAATATACAGCAATTATTGGACTATCTTACATTTTGAATATAAGCACTTACCATCATTTATATGTATTCAATATAATGTCTTCCATATAAATTGAGGAAATGTTTGTAGTTGCCTGTATATTGTGTTGTAGGATAAACCACTTGCAGAACTGGTAGAAGAAGAGTGAGATAGCTATACATGGTATAAAAAAATATTCAACATTAGAGAAATAGATGTTATACATTTAATTACCCAAGGATGTTGTGTTTACCCATTGAAACAAATTGCGGTAAATGTGGTGGGGTGGTAAGAATTGACTATCGGCGCACACTTCCATAGCTTCCAATTTCACAATGCGTAAAAACAATGTCATTTACTTTTAAAAAATTGATATTGTTTTGCAGTATTGTAAGATTTGTTGATACCATTTGTAATTGTGGTATAATGTGGACCAAAGAGTTTTAGAGCATTCAAAAAGTTACTGTTTTTAGAGTTAAAGTATTTGGAATGTGTAGATAAAGAAACAGCTTTTCTGTTCAAGTATAAGGGCATCTCATTTTCTCTTGTGTTTAAAATTACATTTTTCATTTATTTAGATGTGATAGTTCTATCTGTGATGTACATAGAAATTGAATAGAACATGCCTTGTTAGTGAATGATTGCAATTTCATGAGTGATTACAGTTCAGTGTGTATTTGTGTGCTGCAATCTGATCCTTAACATAAATATAATGTGAGAGAAATATTTGTATAATTATATTTGTTTTCTTAACAGATGTAGTATAAGAGAAGGTAGTTTATCGTGTACAATATTGTGGTACGAGAATAATATATTTTAAAAACCTGCAATTCAGAAAGAGAGATTATTTGTGTGTTTCAGACATACATCTACCAGAAGAACAATTAAGAAAACATTTGCTGCGGAGTTTGCTGGGAAAGATGCTATGGTAGTAATTAGTCTGTTTGATATGGTAATGCTAGAGTGTGAATGGTGAAACTTCTTGTATTTATCATTGTTTTGTAAAACCTAATTTCCCAGTATTTGTTAAATGTTATGGAGAAGTTTAGTTAAATATTCATGAATTGGAGGAAAATGCAGAATGAAAAGTAAACAATTGTAAAGCTTTTAGGATATGGACTAGTCATAAAAATATCTTCTGGCCATTAGAGTTTTCTTTATGTGATGTACCTTTCAAGTCTGCACAAACACATTTAAGGAATTGTTAGATTTCTGATGTATCAAATGGGCTGTGCTCAAAGAGTAAAATCTTGGAAAAGTTTCCAAGTCTTTCTCCTAAGAAAACGTAATTAACAATTGCTTGTCACAAATAGGAGAAAAGTTGAGCCTCAGAAGAGGCTGTGTTCTGGGTTGTTATAATTTATAAAAGCAATATTGATTTTTTATTGGGTGATGTGTTCAGTGTACATGTGATGTGTTTGGCAGCTTTTGTAATTTTCACTTACGCATTTCTGTGCATAAGGAAGTGAAAAGTGGCACAAGGTGGTTACATATCTACATAACTAATTTTGAATTGTAATTTTAATTTAGAGTTTTAGTGGATATACCAGACATCTTTTGTTTTGGTGTACCACGAATGGTTGCTTATGACAATCTACTTTGTGTTGCACTTAATTAAGCTGTGTTAAAGTGCAGGCTTTTCTTGCTAAGTAATACTAGTGGGCAAGTTGTGTATAGGTCCGCTAGGCAGCCAGATCACATATATTGGATTTGTTTCAGATTAGCAGGACTGGATTTACTACAGAACTGTGTAGATTAATTTCAGTCTTGGTGTCTTGATAAAATTTGAAATTATTTGAAATAGCTTTTTTTTTTTGTCGATATCTTATTGTCCAAGGTGTTTTTTTTTTTTTTTCTTTCCTCTCTTCTTCTGCGATCAACTGTGGAATGAAATAATGCTTTTTAAACCTAGTCAGTCATGGTCAGTGTTTGCCTTTCATCCCTTCTGCCAGGGGGTCAGCACAGTCGGATCCCTTTGATTCCCAGACTGTCACCTCTCCAG